GTGCTAATGATCCATTGTTAGGCTGATGGCTGTTTACTGTTCACAGAGGGCTGAGTGATACTAGCAATCACAGCATTGTAAGAGGGGGACAGTTGAACCCGGAGGCCTCCACCCCTGTTTAATGATGGACGATTTCTTTTCACAAAGATGGCCTCCTTTACTCCTCTCTCAAACCATCGTTCCTCTCTGTCCAGGATGTGAACATCTTCATCCTTGAAAGAGTGACCGCTGGCCTGGAGATGAGTGTAGACCGCAGAATCCTGGCCTGATGATGTTGATCTTCTGTGCTGGGCCATCCTTTTGGCCAGTGGCTGTTTTGTGATCACAGCCCTCCTGACACTGAACAGCATACACAACATTACTCTGTTTGTGCCGGGGGACTGGATCTTTGGGATGAACCAGTTTTTGCCGTAATGTATTTTGGGGTTTAAAAGCCACTGGGACGTTATGTTTAGAAAATAAACGTCTCAGTTTCTCTGATACCCCCTCAACATACGGAATGACCACTGGTCTGGGTCTGGGTTCCTCCTTTTCACCTGATGGCTGACTGGAGTCCTGTTTGGGTTTCTTCTCTGCTTTCAGGAAGGCCCAGTTAGGATATCCACTTTGCTCTAGAGCCTGTCTTGTGTAGGATTTCTCCTTCTGCCTGGCTCCCGAGCTAGTGGGGATGCTGTCTGCTCTGTGATACAGAGTCCTGATGACTCCTAACTTGTGCTCCAAAGGGTGATGGGAATCAAACTGCAAATACTGGTCTGTGTGGGTGGGTTTGCGGTACACCTCGATTTGCAAATGTCCTCTATCAGAGACTGAGACCTCACAGTCCAAGAAAGCCAACTTGCCATTTTTTTACATCTTCTCGTGTGAACTTGATGTATTTATCCACAGAGTTGATGTGGTCAGTAAAATGTTGGACTTCCTGAGATTTTATTTCAACCCAGGTGTCGTCAACATACCTGAACCAATGACTTGGTGGTGTCCCTGAAAAGGACGTCAAGGCTCTCTTTTCTACCTCCTCCATGTACAGATTGGCAACAATAGGAGAAACTGGAGACCCCATAGCACACTCATGTTTCTGCCTATAATATTGCTCCCCATATGTGAAGTAGGTTGACTGCAGGCACAGTTTCAAGAGTTGACACAGTTGTTCTGTGGAAAGCGTGGTCCTGCTGCTCAGAGTGGTGTCTGATTTTAATCTTAAACTGACCACCTCTACTGCATCATCAACAGGAATGCACGTAAAGAGTGATGTGACATCAAAAGAGACCATTGTTTCATCAGTCTCCATGATGACATCCCTCACCTTATCCACAAAGTCCATGGTGTTCTGTATGTGGTGTTCTGAGCTGCCAACTAAAGGGATGAGTACAGACGCCAGATATTTGGAAACATTGTAAGTGACAGAGTTAATCATGCTAACAATGGGTCTTAAAGGTACACCTTGTTTGTGGATTTTAGGTAAACCATACAGACTAGGTGTGGCCTCCCCTGGGTACAGTCTGTGGTGTAGTGGACTAGGCCCATGTCAAAAACTAAGTCTAAGGTCAAAAATCTTGACCTTTAGAACCTTGTGGGACAGGAACTGTCATTTCATTCATTTGAACTCAGAAATACAGGTTCACCCATCCTGAGACTTTCTTTCTTGAAGATTCAAGTGAAAAGAACACTCTCTTTTTATTATCATTACTATTTTACAAATGTTGATAATCAAAGTGTCTTAGTTCAAACCATTTTAGATGTGGCAGTGAACTAATCAATTTTATTAACTGTGTAATGATTTTTATTCTCATGTCAAAGCTGTAACAGAATAATTATGCATTTTCTGATTTCTGCCTTTGAGTGAGCAAGTGTAAGTTGGTCCAAGGTTGGAATAAAACGCAAAACAAGTTGTTATGTTAAAACTGTCATGTTTTTAACATCCTCTCAGACGTAAATAGAGAAGTTTTGGCACCTGTTGCTGAAACAGCGCCAAAACAAAACTCTCTCTGTCTGTGAGAACATTTCTGATCTGTTTCATAACAATTCTCGCTGTCTCTAACCTCTTACGTCACAAAACACACCCCGTCTGGTCGTTTCTGACCAATGAACAAATCCCAAAAGTGAACCGGGAAACAGCTCTTTAAAATGTCAGTACTTCCTGGTCTACTCGGTCTTGGTTCTGTTGAAGTTCTGATGGAGTGCTGTTGGAGTTCTGCTGGATACACAGTCCAACCAGTTCTGTGAGAGACGGGATGATCCTGACAACAGAGCTCTTCCGAGTTCCATGGGATTATAACATTTTCCACTGAGGTGAATATGTGTCGAACAGAGCCTCGCCATTACTTCGGACGAGTAACAGCATCCTACTGAGACGCTGAAAGGGTGCGTTAAACGGAATCTCACCTGAGACATCTCCAGGTAAAGGAGCCGATTTCATCACCTAAGTGTACTGTAAGGAAAAGCTGAAGAAAGCCGGAGAGTGTCGATTCTGGTGAACACATTTCTCCCCACACCATCTTACTCCCTCTAAACTTCTTTCCATCTTTAAACTTTTCTATCAAGTAGAAATTCTTCCAGATATTTTAGAAATGTCTGTGTAAAATGCTCACCCACATTCATGTGGGTAAAAGATCATAACTGTACAGTTTTCATAAATGTCTGTGGTGAAGCAACGGAAAAATCATGGCCGTATGATTTTTCCTGATTGATTGCTTATGTTGTTATTTTCATAATTTGCCAAATTAATGTAAATGTTTGATGTTAAATTTTGATTCTGTAAATAAATGACCGCATTCATTTTGATGGGTCAAATATAAATGATGTCTCACGTTTGCATTTCCTTAAATTCAATGCACGTTTTATTCAGTCCAGAAAAATGAGGAATCCGTGTTAAATGATGAATATATCTGAGCATCTGTTCATCTACATATTGGTGGCCCGTACGGGGACATAAATGGACTGTAACCGTGTAAACATTGATTTCATGTTGGCATGTATGTTAAAAAATAACAGTTTATCGGCTGTGCTGAAACACTGCATGTTTACGCAGCGAGCTGGGGCTGCGCGCTTACAGCTTGGCTGTGCGTATTTACGCAGCGCAATGGAGCTGCGCGCTTGTGGTACGCTGGCATTGTTAGAAGCTGAAATTGTGTCATAAGTCTTTATGAAAGCTGAAATTGTACGCCTGTTACGTGTGACTAAGAGCTGATGAGCTGTGAGAAACGCTGCGTTCTGTTTAAACTGAGGTCCAAACGGACGGGAGGTTCGGTTCTGTGGACCGGCTCGGTTCTGGAAAATTCGAACGAGTTGTTTAAATAGCTAGGAAGACGTTTTTGAGACCGGAGTAGGAGACTCCGTACAGCTCAGAGTTGATTCGTTACATTTTTAACCGAAAAAGTGCATTTTGATGGTTTAAAAGACGATCGGTTGACGAAATAGTTCAGGCTACTCTAACATGGCTGCTAACGCTTCGTGGTTGTTTGGATTGCTGGTGTGGAGCGCTCGGATTTGCTGAGAAGGTTGAATGCGTGCCTACGTGACTTCCTCTCAACCCCGCGCTGCTTTTCATTGGTGATTTCAGTCACGTGACCCGGAAGTGAAAATTCGTTTTCATAGGGAAATAAAATCAGCTTTTTAAAGCTGAAAAGCGCTGCAAAGCTGTGTTCTGACACGGTGTTTAAGTCTTCGAGGTCTAATCGCTAAAACTACGCCACGTTTGTGTAAAAAATTCGTTCAGAAACGTTGATTTTAACCGGGTTTAGCCGAAGCTAACTTTAAGCTAAGCGGCTAACAACAGGATGTCAACCGAACGCCACAGGAAGTTGTAGCTCCCCTAGTGGACAACACGAACAGTGTCGGAGTTAAAATTGTTGAGGTTGTACTGACATCTTGTGGAGAAGACGTGGGATCACAGGTTTCACTTCGTTTTTAGGGTTAAATAGTGAAATTAAACGTTTTTATTCTTTTAAAGGCATTTTTGAGTTATTAACCGTTCCTCAAAGTTGAATAGACTCTGTTATCTTGCATTTTAAAAGTTATGAAGGTATTTATGCAGAGAGCATTTACCCAACAGAATTTTTAGTCACTGATAAATCCTTGAGAAACAGGTACAGAATAAAAATTTAGAAACTTTTAAATAAGATACAGTTACAGATATTCACAAAGTTGGAAAAAGTTTACTCATTTGCTAGAAGGTAACGCACGTTTAATTGATAAATCACTAAATAAGAGTAAACTTATCAGGAAAAAGAGATTTTTCTGATTTTCTTTTACCACCTAAACATTTACATCTCCTATTTAATTTCTAAATAGCAGATAATGGCGGACGAAGATGAAAACACTGACCCCTTACAAT